TCTGGGTTTATTTTTCACATAGGAAGTGGAAAGTCAGGTTGAAAGCATTGCATTTTGCACATTCCATGCAGAAAATGTTTATGCACATTATATGTACTATACTACAGTCATAGACAGATAGTTATGATAGTATGCTATTCTGAATGTAGCACATCATGGGTTTGCTGTTGGTTCAGTCTGCTTTGCACTGACCCGTCCTTCAATAGTGGCCTCTTTGCAAAGCCGCATCACATTGTGACTGGAAAATGGCATAGCAAATCCTGTTTTCCGTGGCATGAATCCTTTGAAATCTCTGTGCTCTGTTAAAGGCGCAGCAGTGAGCTTTATCTGAGGAGCTGCTTGTGTTTCAGTCCTTCATCTTGTTGATGAAAACACTGACTCTCGCTGGGACAGAAAGCGTCTGAAGAGCGATAGACCAAGCGAGGGAGAGCCGATGGAGATCGGTCTGTGTTAGGTCTTGCTGTTCATGCCAAGTGTTTTACATCAGTCTCTATAGCTTTTATGATGACCTCTCTTTCTTTTCTTTCCCTCCGACGATCCTTTTCTCTGTCCCTCGCAACATCAGTTCTCACACTCTTGCCTCCTACTCGTTCTGCTTCTCTCATTTAAACTCAACAGCTGAGCAGGGCAGCTTACATAAGCACATTTCACTGGCACATTGTCATATAAAGCAAAGCTGTTATTGTGAGGTGCTAATTATTGGACGAACAGGGTTAAAACCTGATTGGATCAGCTACTTTCAAAGACGATTTACACACACCAGTGAGGCACAGCAGGAGAATTATATATGGATGCGGCATATTGCTAGACGCTATTGAAACAGTAAATAGCCTGCAGTTTGTACTTAATCATGGGTTCTTGTTGATTGATTGATTGATTGATTGATTGATTGACTTATAAAGCCACAGTAAGTAAAAATAAGTAAATAAATAAATAAATACAAATTAAATAAATAATATTAAATTAAATATAAATAAATATTAAAAATAAAAAATAAATATTGAAAAATAATATACTATTTTTAATAATTTAAAAATAATAAATTAATTAAAAAATAAAAGTAAATAAATAAAAATGTAATTCTAAAGCATGGGTTCTTGTGGCTTTCTTGCTTGCTTTATTTATTTATGTACTTACTATATGCTAATATATATTATTTATTTATTTATTTATTTACAGGTGCATCTCAAAAAAATAGAATATCGTGAAAAAGTTCTTGACTTTCATGAGCTGTAAGCTCTAATCATCAAAATTAAAATGGTTTTTGCCCCCATGTTTCATGAGCAAATTATAATTTAATATTATATTAATTTATATATAACTTCATTATTCATTCTCTCGCTCTGCACATATATGCATATATATATATATATATAGAGAGAGAGAGAAAGAGAAAGAGAGTTTTTTTTATTTATAATATGGTTTAAATTATGCTTTATAATATTATATCACTTGTAAATAATTTATAAGATTAATTTTGTGTTTTTATTTTATTTAGAGGCTTGTGTATTTGTTTATTCATAAAATAACTTATAATATTTCTATTGTTTAATAAATAATTTTGTATTAGTTCTATTAGTTCCTATTATATTTCGAGTGTGGGAATGTTTTTTATGTATTTATTTAGACTGTAATGTAAACACCAGCATCTGAAGGCTAAAATAAGCAATGTATTGTGCACATGCATTTATTCAGACAAAATTGTTTCACGTGTTTACATTGTCACATCTGTAATATGAAAAAAAAAAAAAGAGGTCAAATGCAAAGAGTTTCTGTGTGTGCCCCGCAGGAGGCATTTCTTTAGTGCAGCGGTGAAAGACGGTGGATTTGTGCCTGTCTCTCACACGTGGGTTGCTTGTGGTCTTTTGCACACGCTAGTGAGGAGTGCTTGAAGTGCGTCGTCGTCATGGAGACGGAGGGGTGGGGCTGAGGCTGTGGCTGTGGCACTGATAGGGTGGTCACGTGCTGACGGCGACCCATTTTACTGAGGAGATAACGACAGACGGGGGGAACAATTATCTCTGTCCTGCTGATCAAACTCCCTCAACTCAGTCCAGACGAGACGGCCGTGCAGGTGACGTCCATTCAGTCCCTGCACTGCATGCCATGCTGTTCTAGATAGACAGATATATTGTCCAGGCCAATAAATTGCATGGAGGCGGTCAGCAATAATCATGCTTTTTTGTGTTTTCAAATTTGTTGAAAACTGTTTGAGTAAAGATGTGCAAGAAAATGCTCATTTAAGCTGAATTTAAATTTCATTAAAACAATTAAAGCAAAGGGAAACGAACTAGATTCATATAATTTTTCAGTTCAACTTTAGTAATGCTAAAATTTTAGTCTTTGATATGAAATATTTTCGTAATATTTTAGGATATTATAACTATAAAAATGCAGATCACTTTTGCCCAAGATATATTTTCGAATGTTACAGTATGATGAATAATAAATGAGCCATATTTAAATGCATCTGCAGTTCAAGTGCAAGTGTAGCAGTATACGAGCCAAGTCATCATTGTAAATCAAAATTTCTCCTAATATACTTTATTAATTATGAAATTTAGAAAGAAATACAAGATTCTTCTGAAATGACTTTCCTTTTGATGTTACCAAGCATATCTCATATAGAGACTTATACATACATGTGTTTATTAAAGACATTTTATTTTATTAATATTATGTATTTTATATGCTATTGCATAAATATTTAGTAATAAATGGTAGTTATGATAAATAGTTACTTTAGTTAAAAAGAAAACTATTTTCTATTTGCATATTTAATGTGCTTAGATAAGGATATGGATATCTATTTATTATTTTTTATGACTTGATCCATTATGACTTAACTAGAAATATGTGAAGTAAATTGGGTTGAAAATGTTTCATTATTAAACCATACACATTAGCAGTAAATATGCACAGCAAAATAATTATAAATCTAAAAAAAACCTGTCAAGAAGGTCATATTGTATTTCACCCCAAATTAAAAGAAAAAAACAGTGCCATTATTGTAATGTGAAAAAAAAAAAATCTAATAAAATAAATACAAATAATAATTATTATTTTTATGTCATTCATATTTTTTTCTTTTGATTATGGTGTGAAATATGATCTGGATTTGGTTTAATGAGCTTCACCCCCATCTCATCTCAATGCTTCTTTTTTTTATAGACTGTATTTTTATAGACTATTCGCCAGTCACACTTGTAGTTTTATGATGTTCTTTGTGTTCATCTCTCTTCCATAATAATTCCATAATTCCATGTTCTCCCCTCTCACTGTCCCACCTCTGAGCACAAGTGCTGAATGTTAAGCAGCATTCAAAGCGAAGCAAGCCGTGTGTGTGTGTGT